AAACAGAACTAGTCTCCATAACTAATGATTTTTGCTATCATTTTTTTTCCCTGTTGGATCTTCTGGAAAAAGGAAGATAGCATGAAAAGAGAGGCAATGTCTAGATGAAAATACACTTTTTGAGTTCAAAAAGCAGTTTTGTGAAAAAGCATTTGTGAAACCAAATGTCTAACTCTTAAAGGCTGATGATTTTTCATCCTGTTGTGTGTATTTTTGAGGCGGTCAATTTGAACTGTAAGACACAATAAAAAGAGCTTAGGCAAGTCTTGCTTGTCACTTGGATTTGGACTTAGACCACGGCTGACTGGCCCTGTAGCATCTTAACTTTTTTGGCATTCTAAATTCACAGATTCTAATTTCCTGGACATGACTCTCAGCTGAAACCTGATATGGTCTGCTATAGGCTGTTCCCACCTCAGCACCAGATGTGCTGAACTGAAATCAAGCACAGGCTAAATGAACTCTAAATGAACTACATGAACTTTAAATGAACTCAGACTCAGATCCTTGCAGATTTGGCTCATCCCTCTTGTGGGGCTCTAAACTGTGAAACCATCCTGGGTGCTGACTGGACCATTTGGGTCACTTGCATTCATAACTTGTGATTTCTGCAAAAGCTGCAGACTGGGGGAGGGCACATCACAGGGAATGTGACTCCTTCCCCACTCCTGATAGATCAAACTCTTGACCCCTTCTGGGGGTTGTGTCACTGCTGCTGATGGTTATGTTTGACTTTCCAGATTAGTTGCAGTTTACAATGGATTGATAGCCTGACTCTACTTACTTCACCTTTCTCCTGATATGTAAACCTTAGTAAGGTAATTTGCTTATTAAATGCAGTTGTCCTCAGAAAGGGAGTGATCTTGTTTGTGTGTGTGTGTGTGTGAGGAAGATCGGCCCTGAGCTAAGATCTGCCAATCCTCCTCTTTTTGCTGAGGAAGACTGGCCGTGGGCTAACATCCATGTCCATCTTCCTCCACTTTATATGGGACACCACCACAGCATGGCTTGCCAAGCGGTGCGTCAGTGTGCGCTTGGGATCCAAACCGGCGAACCCCGGGCCGCCGCAGTGGAGTGCGCACTTAACCGCTTGCGCCACTGGGCCGGGCCCCAGAGTGATCTTTTCTAGGTTGCTCACTGAATAAATGATCAGGATGAAGAGGGTGGGAGGTATGAAAACCCATTCTTAAAATATTTGAAAATTTAGGATTTCATCTTGACCAATAACGGGACATGATATGTCTTTCTGGTTAAGTTGTATAAAAATGTTTGCCTATGAAAATACTTTTAAACTTCTTGCATATAACTCTTCCAGACAAAAGGTCTGGATGAGAGGAGGGAATGATTGTACTATGATTGCTAAGTGGGACGCACAGATTTTGTAACAGTGGAGAAAAAACAAAATCCTGACACCTGGGGATGCCTGGGTGAAGGGAGAGGGCATTAATGATCTTTGATTTTTAGGACTGCTCCTGGAAGCTTTCCCCTCCTCCCTAATAAAAGCACATATTGTCTTCCCTGCTGCTGAGAGTGCTTTGAATTCTAACTGACTATTGAGCCTAAGGTCAGATTTGACAGAGCTGACTATGAGACACCAGGGGTTGGCCCCGGCTCCTGCACCTTCCTCTCAGAGCACCTCCAGATGTCACCCACACTCACAAAGCAGATGAACTGGTGCCATGAACAAACAAAAATGTTTGGATCCAACTGCCTTCAGGAGACATTCCCATTGAAACCAAGGAGTGAAGTGAATTTTTTGGACTGGACTGGAAACTTTAAGGCAGGAGTCCCCATGCGGGAGGCCACATTAGGGGTCCTGTTAACCTAAACTGCCTGATTAATGTATGTCCTGCTTGAGATGCCCTAATAATTGTAAACTCTTTTGGTCCAAGGGTACTGTGTGTGCCTTCTGGAATTGTACTTGTCTGTGAGCCCTGACTATCCTGGCACTACTTCAGCCCTGAAAGGCATTCAGGTCAGCTTCAATTTACTGGCCAGGCTTGTGCTACACTTAGAATGATGCCTCCAGCCAGCTAAAAAAAAAAAGTTAATACAGAAACTTAAAGAGGAAGCCACCTGGATTTTGAAGATACATGTTTATCGTAATGGATACATCTAAGACCCCTGAGGGTATAACTGAGGACAATACTGCACGTTGTTCTCACTCTGCTGCATGTGGTCCTACTGGCAAAGACATCGTGGCCAAGAGCCAAGGGGATGGACCGTGCAGAAAAGAGTTCACATGGCAGGCCTGAGAATACTGTCCTTAGAAAGGCCTACTTGCAAGGTTGGCCCTTGGCTGGCAACTGGGGACTTGGATTTTGGGAGGGTTCTACCATTCTCTTAATGATAAGGGTGGTTTACTGTATCTAAACTGTGCAAACAGTATGGCTTATGCTGAACACCTGCTTTCTTTCTGAGAGTTTGGAGTTTGGGTACATGTCAGGCAGAGGGTGCCTATGTGACCAGTCCCTAATAAAAACATTAGGCACTGAGTCTCTAATGAGCTTCCTTGGTATACAACATTTCACGTGTGTTGTCATGATTTGATATTGGAAGAATTAAGCATGTGCTCTGTTACTCCACTGGGAGAGGACTCTTGGAAGCTTGTGCTTGGTTTCCTCTGGACTTGACACCATGTACCATTATTCTTTGCTGATTTTGCTTTGTATCCTTTTGCGGTAATAAACCTTAGCCATTAGTACAGCTGTATGCCAAGTCCTGTGAATCGTGGGGAATCACCCACGATTCACAAACTGGAGGTGATCTTTGTGACCCCCAACACAACAAGAATGTTCATAGGAGCTTTATTTATAACCAAAAACTGGAGGGGGAAACTCAAATGTTCATCAACAAGTGAATGGATAAATAATAATACATTCATATGCTGGAATATTATACAGCAATGAAAATGAGTGAACTAATTCTATGTACAATATGGATGAATCTCATAGACATAACATTGAGTGAAAGAAACCAGATATAAAAAAGTACATATTGTATGATTCTATTAATATAAAGCTAAAAAATGGACAACTACTTATTTATGGTGATTGAAGTTTGAATGGTGGTTAACTTTGGGAGCTAGAGGACATTAATAACTGGGAAGGGGCACAAGAGAGGCTTCTGCAGTGCTGGTAATGTTCTATATCTTGATTTGGGTTGTGTGTTTACTATGTAAAAATTCATCAGTTTTTACATTTAAAATTCATGTACTTAACTTCATGTATGTTATACTTTACAGAAAAAAGACCCTAGTGTCCATTGATGAGTGAAAAGATAAACAAAATGTGGTATAGAGATCCAATGGAATATTATTCAGCCTTAAAAAAGAATAAAATTTTGACACATACTACAAAATAGATGAGCCTTGAAGACATTATGCTGAGTGGAATAAGCTAGTCACAAATGGTTCCACATATATGATTTCACATATACGAGGTCCCTAGAGTAAGCTAATTCATAGAGAAAAAGAATGGTGATTGCCAGGGACTAGGGGGAGGGGAGCATGGGGAGTTGTTGTATAATGGGTACAGTTTCAGTTTGGGAAGATGGAAAAGTTCTGGAGATGGGTTGTGGTGGTAGTTGTAAACATTGTGAATGTGCTTAATGCTACGGAACAATTAAAAATGGTTAAAATGGTAAATTTTGTATTATATATATTTTACCATAATAAAAAAGGAAACAAAATGGAAGGAGTAGTGGATAAATCTGTGATATTGTGATATTGATCTCAGGTAAAATGTGTGCTTTACAGAGTGGACCCTGGAATATTATCAAGGCATTGACAGCTCTCAGGTTCTGTCCCCAAGAGTGAAGCAACACTAAAAATGTGGCATACTCGATACGTGTCACACTTAGGGTGAGGCAGGGGCAAAAATAAAATCCCCAAGAAAAATGTGTTCCAGCCAAAAGAAAAAAACAGTAGTACTATTTCTGTCACTACTGACATGAAAGGATATTCAATATATATCTTGGGGAAAAAAAGAGTTTGAGAACAATGTGTATAGTGTTATCCTATGTTATAAAAGGAAAAATATGTGTGTGGATAAATGAATTATTTCCTCATTGTAAGAAGTATTGATGTAATAATTGCCTTTTGAAAGACAAAAAGAAATTCAACTGCATTTAACATAGACATCAGTTATCAGATCGATTCCAATTTCAGAATGCTAAACTGTAAAAAGAAGACATCTTGTACTCAAGGAAATAAGGTGGATGTGTGTGTGTGAATGTGCACACATGTGTATACATCTATACACATACATGATATTTAGACACATGATGTATATAGAATGTAAGTAGAATTATTTACATTTTCATTAAAATTATGCCTTACTTTTGTAGCTGTCTGATAGTTCGTCTTCCCCCTTTTTCAAGTTTTTAAAAATGTTCTTCTGCCAAGTGAATTTTACTCTGTGTATAAAGTTCCACAAAATTTTCTATCAGATACAAGAATATCAAAATATTTTGACTTATTTGGATAAAATGTGTTGTCCCATTGAATAAAATGTGTCAGTGTTATGCTATTGAAGGAGATCAAGATACACTTTTATTTCAGTTTTTCAGTTTAGTAGGCCATCTTTAAGCTGTTGAGATTTTTGTTCAGCTTTGTTGATGCATAGTTTAAATTAAGTTTGATAATCAGTATAGCTTTTGCACTTTTATTGAGCTTTAAGGAAATTCAGTGTATGTGCATTGGTAATAGAATTCTATCATTCATAGAACTGTTAATTTTTATGTACATTCTTTTCTTTCCTATGTAGATAATGTGGCTTCTTTACAAGAGCATAAAGTTTCTTGAAGGACTGATAATTGCATGTTCTTTCTCTTGGAAAGCCCCATAATGCTTAGTATGGCCCTGTACATGACATGGACATGAACTTTGAGACACAAAACTTAGTTTGTTCAATCAATAAGTGTAAACTAATATAAAAAAATGTTTGCTGATTGGATTTGTGCACCAAAAATATCTTGACCATCTCTCAATTCTATCTCAGGATGCAACAGTAGAATGAAACTCAGTGGACGACCCTACAGACACATGGGAGTCCTTGGAACTTCAAAACTGTATGACATTCGGAAAACTATCTTTACCTTCACTCCACAGGTGGGTGGAATGAGCTTTAACGTGCATAGAGATGAATGGAAATAAAAGAGAAATACTACAGAAATAAAGCATTTACTGGAGTTGGGACAAGTGTCAGAGTTCCGTGAGGCCTTGCACATATTAAGTTGCTCAGTAAATATTTGTTAAGTTGGACTGAATTGAACTTGCAGCACAGAGCTATGCCAAGTGATTGTGGCTACCAAGAGTAGTCCTGGGTGTTGCAGAAACAGTAACAGGGATTTTACAAATGTTGGAGTACTTAAAAAAGTACTCTTTACTTTTAAAAGTTAAAAATAAAGACTGTATTTCTCCTTTATAAACAAAATATAGTTTTTTAAGTTCATCTACTGAATTACGTCTTCTCCTTGTCTTGGGGAGGGGCCCTTTTTACATACCTGGAAATCCTTGATGTCCTCTTCTAACCAAAAACGTCAGTACTGTTTTAGCCATGATTATATACATTGTTAGCCTGATGTTTTTTAGCCACCTTACAATAGCAATCCCAATTATATGTGTGTATGGGAGGAGAAACTATTTTATGGAAAGAAAACTTAAGCTTCCCATTTGTCATCTTATATCTGAAATCGTGCAGCTAAGGTATAGACGAAAGAGTAATGGACCATAGATTCTATTTCTGACTTTGTCATTCACTAGCCATATGACTTTTCTAATCCACTTAATGTCTCTTGGCATTATTTGTCTTATTAAAAAAAGAAAAGCCCTCACTGGGTTGTTATTGAATTAAATAAAATTATGTAGTAGAAAACACTTTGTAAACTATAGCACACAGAAAAATGTCAAAAATTATATGTACCAATGGACCACCAGATACTTTGGGAAGAATTAGGCATTAAATTTGGGGGTATTGTTGTCTCTAGGACATCTTATATACCCTTGTGAATATGTGAATACTTTAAAATATTATTTGATGGTTGTGAGAGTAAATTATTCTGAGCTGTTATCTTTCTTTTTCTCAGTTTATAGACCAGCAACAGTTCTACCTGGCTCTAGACAACAAGATGATAGTGGAAATGCTTAGAACAGACCTCTCCTACCTCTGTAGCCGCTGGAGGATGACAGGCCAGCCCACTATCACCTTCCCCATCTCACACACCATGCTTGGTAAGGTTGCATGAGGCAAGGAATGAATGTATTTTTGGAATAAGTCATGTGGTTAGCCCTTCAAAATCTTAGAGTCACTGGAGAGCTACTTCTGACCATTTATTCTTTCAGCAGTTATTATTAGCTCCTATTTTTGTGCCAGGCACTTTTCTAAGCACTGGGGATACATGGGATGCATAAGGCAGATGAGGTTTCTACTCTTCTGGAGCTTATGTTTTAGAATAAATACGTAACAAATAAACCAATACACAAGAATTTTTCAGGTGGGTTGAGAGCTATAATTCCAAAATGTAATAGAATAACTTGGTGGGGGCGTACTTCAGGTAATTGGTTTCTAGGTCAACTTGCGGAAACTTTATTAATACAATTCATTTAAAGACAGTAATACTACATTCTGCATCTGTCTTACTCCAGTGGAGCATCAAGATTTTATAGATTAGTTCCCAGACTTCTCCTTCCAAGGCTTGTCTAACTGAAGCAGTAAAATCTAGCAGGCGAAAGTGAAAAGGCTTTCAGTTTATCTTTCCTTTATTGTCTGGACTTCCTGAAATTGCTTACTTGAAACTGGGTGAAAGGCTTTATTGTTGTCTTAGTTCCTGGAGGAGTAGAGCCAATACTGAAGCACTGCTTCCTTTCTGTGTCTCTGCTGTTGCTTCCAAAAGCCTGTTTGTACTGCCAAAGTACATAGAATTCCTTTTCATTAGAGAAGAATCCTTTGTCATAACTTATTCAAAGTCTAGACAGATGGTTAGGGATTATGGTCACATCTCTAAAGTGCTTCAAAAGCACAGGAGTTGAGGAAGTAGGATAGTCTTTCTTCCTTTTGTCTTTATTCTTCATTTAAGACAATTAACAAGTACCCATTTAATAACTACTGTATTCCTGGAATTACCTTCAGAGAGTCTAAAGTCTAATTGGAGAGGCAAAGCTAATACACAAAAATAATAGAAAATATGGGCTGGCCCTGTGGCTTAGCGGTTAAGTGCACGGGCTCCACTGCTGGCGGCCCGGGTTCAGATCCTGGGCGCGCACCAACACATCGCTTCTCCTGCTGTGCTGAGGCCGTGTCCAACATACAGCAACTAGAAGGATGTGCAGCTATGACACACAACTATCTACTGGGGCTTTGGGGGAAAATAAATAAATAAAATTGTAAAAAAATAATAATAATAATAATAGAAAATAATTCAAGACAGTATATAAAGAAATACTACACCATTAGATGAGTATTTTACAGTGAAAGTGATCAAGTTGTCAAAGAAAATTTCTTGACCGAGGTAGGACTTATCCAGGCTTTTTGGGATGGGTAGTGTTCATATGGGAGGAGGAAAAAAGGAAAAGTACTTTAGGTGAGGCAAAAAATACCATGAGTGAGGCCTGGAGGCAGGGATGCGCTTGACTTGTGAGTAGACAGTGAAGAAAGTAGAGTGGGCCTTGCATGTTGGAGCATAATTATCAACAAAATTGGATAAGTAAGGTGGGGCCAGATTATGAAGACCTTGAAAATAAGTAGAGATATTTAAAACAGATTTTCTCAGAAGTCTTAAACTATCAAAAGTTTTTGAGCAGGGAGTGACATGGTGAAAGTGATGTTTAGGGAATATTGATTTGGTGACAGTATACATTGTAATGGGGAGAATCTGATATCAAGGAAACTAATCCAGGTATGAGGTGATGAGAAGATACACTGGATTAGTGGTAGTAAAAATAGAATGGGAAAGAAGGATACAAGAGTAATTTTAAACAATACCTGCAAGTCAGGTGTTGGCTAACTAGATATGAGATATGAATCAAGATAACGCAAAAATTTAGAGACTAGGTAAATAATGCTGTCATTGATAGAAGCAGTGAAATTGTATAGGAAGATGCCAGTTGTAAAGGGACATGTTGAGTTCATGGTGACAAAGAGATTTCAAAATTGAAATACCTAATAGTTGGGATGAGATACCCAACCATACCTTGGGAAAAAGAATAAAACTAAAGATCTAGATTTAAATTACAAAGTTTTGATACTTGGTACATGGTCACACAACAAAAACAGCAGGAACAATAGCAATAATAACTGCAATGTTTATTGAACACTTTCTCTGTGCCAGGCACTGAGCTAAGTGCTTTCAATGCATTATTTTGAAATCTCTACAACAACCCTATTCAGGTAGGTACTATTAATAGCCCCATTTTATAGATGAGGAAGGTGACTCATTGTCCAGAGTCACAAAGCTAGTAAGAGACAGAGTTAGGCCTCACACCAAGTCTGTCAGTCTCCAAAGCCTACATTACCAAGAGCTGTGTGTTTTTGTCAGAGAAAATTTTGTGCTGGTGAAATGAAAGTGAACATATTAGTAATCACATTAAAATGTGAATTTGTTTAATACTTATATTAAAGACAAAGATTCCAAGAATACATAAAAGAGCAAAATCCAGCTAGATGCTACTTACAAAAGATATCCCTAAAATAAAATTATATGGAAAAATGAAAAATAAAGGAATGTGTAAAGATATATCGTGTAATTGCTAACAAAAAGAAAGCAATGGTGGCAATATTAATATCAAAAATAGTAAATAGAATTCAAGGTACAAATCAGTAAATGGGACAAGAAGGGTATTTTATATTGATGAGAGTTACAGTCCACCAAGATGATATAACATTTATAAACTTTTATCTACTGAATAATATCATTGAAATGTATAAAGCAGATATTTAGGAAAACTTGACAATATAATAAAACCATTGTACAGTCATAGTGGGAAACTATAACATACCTCTATCAGAATGTCACAGATCAATTATAAAAAGTAATTAAACATATAGAAGATTGACAAACCAAATTTTTGTATTTCTGGGTGTCTATAAAACTATACCCAGAAAGACAGAATACACAAAGAATGTTTATTTTTATTTATTTATTTTTATTTTTATTTTTTTTGGTGAGGAAGATTGGCCCTGATCTAACATCTGTTGCCAATCTTCCTATTTTTTGCTTAAGGAAGATTGTCCCTGAGCTAACATCTGTGGCAGTTTTCCTCTATTTTGTTTGTGGGACACCGCCACAGCATGACTTGATAAGCAGTGTGTACGTCTGTGCCCAAGATCCAAACCCACAGACCCTGGGCTGCCAAAGCAGAGCACGCAAACTTAACCACTACACCACTGGGCCAGCCCCAAAGAATGTTTATTTTTAAAAAGTAGAAATCATACAGACAATATTGCCAGACATATAACATAAAACTAAATATCACAAGAATAGTAAAAGGGGCCGGCCCCGTGGCTTTGCGGTTAAGTGTGCGTGCTCTGCTACTGGTGGCCAGGGTTCGGATCCTGGGCATGCACTGACCACTGCTTGTCAGGCCATGCTGAGGCGGCGTCCCACACACAGCAACTAGCAGGATGTGCAACTATAACATACAGCTATCTACCGGGGCTTTGGGGAGAAAAAGGGGGAAAAAAAAGGAGGAAGATTGGCAACAGATGTTAGATCAGGGCCGGTTTTCCTCAGCAAAAAGAGGGGAATTGGCATTGATGTTAGCTCGGGGCTGATCTTCCTCACAAAAAAAAAAAAAAAAAGAATAGTAAAAATAAAATCTGACCATAAAGGAATTAAATTTTTTTCCAAATAATTCTTAGATTAACAAGGAAATCAAATTGAAATATACAGTGTTTTAAAATGAAAAATGATACTACTGATTATCAAAACTTAAGAGATTTGCCCAAAGTTATATTTAGAAATTTTCATATTCTTAAATACTTTGACTTTGAAAAAAAGAAAAGAGTTCTGATTTCCAGACGAAATGGAGTAGACTCACTTCTCCCTATTTATCTTGCTAAGTACAGCTAAAAACTTTGGACATTATCTATAAAACGAGCATAAGAAGTCTCTAAAAGTTGGAACAGAGAAGGGAGACTGACTAGGGACTTTGCGCCTGAGAAATGACACAGCAGTGAATTTCCTGGGTTTTCCTTCTGCCTCGTAGATCCTGGACTGGGTGCTGGAGAAGCTGTTATAGCCCCGAAACACAAACGGGTACAGATAAAAAAAAGGCCCAAGAAAAACCTTCTCCCTCTAGCCAAAGGAACAGGAAAGGGGCAGCCTAGCCAGACAGAAAACTTTTAAACAGTAACTGTTCTACTCCAGCCAAACACCACAGAAAAAAACTGCAGCCCTGCTCCCACCCCTATCAGCAGAGGCTGAGTGGAGACCCTAGACTTCTACCTTCACACAGCTGTGAAGAGGCACTCCTCCCCCTCCTTAGGAGTAGTGTCTGAACAGCGTTATTGGGGAGCTTAGACTTTCATCCTTGCCCACCAGTAGAGGAACCCCTTCCACATCCACCTAGCAGTAGCAAAGCAGTGCTCCCTTTCCTGCCACACAGTATCAGAGGAGATCTGCTGAATCAGAAGATTCAGTAAGATCCAGAGTCTCATAAAATAATACCTCATATTTCCAGAATACGTTAGAAAATCACTCATACCAATGTCCAGGAAAATCTCAACTTCAAGAGAAAAGCTGATCAACAGACACTAGTATCAAGATGACAAAATGTTGGAATTATGACACAGATTTTAAGGCAGTCATCATAAAAATACTTTAATGAGCAATTACAGCCACACTTGAAAGTAGGAAGTCTCAGCAAAGAAATAGAAATTCTCAGCAAAGAAATTGAAGATACAAATAACCAAATGAAAGCTTTAAAACTGAAAACTACAATAACTGAAATGAAAAACTCACTAGATAGGCTCAATTGCAGAATGGAGGTGATAGAGTGAACTTGAAGATAGAACTATAGAAATGACCCATTCTGAACAAGAGTAAAAATAGACTGAAGAAATATTAACAGAGTCTCAGGGACCTGTGGGACTAATAACAAAAGATCTAACATTCATATTATAAGAGTCCCAGAAGGAGAGGAAAAAGAGTATGGGGCTGAAAAAGTATTCCAACTAATAATGGCTGAAAAATTGGCAAAAGGCATAAACCTGCAGATTCAGAAAGCTGAGAAAGCCCCAAACCAGATAAACCCAAAGAAACCCATGCCAAAACACATAATAATCAAACTCCTGAAAATTAAAGAAAAAGAAAAAATCTCAAAAGCAGTAAGATAGAAATGATGCCTTGCCTATATGGGAAAGGCAATTAGAATGACAGCAGATTTCTCATCAAAAACCCTGGAGAACAGAGGGAAGTGGCACAACATTTTTCAAGTGCAGAAAAAAAAGAATTACAAACTAAGAATTCTGTATCCAGCAAAAATGTACTTCAAGGATAAAGGGGGAAAAGACATTCTCAGCTGAAAGAAAACTAAATGAATTTGGCTGCAGGAGATCTGCCCTAAAAGAATGGCTTAAAGGAAATTTTTTAAATGGAAAGGAAATAATACAAGATGGAATGTTGGAACATCAAGAAAGAAAAAAGAACAGTGAAAAGAGTAAGAATATGGTTAAATATAATAGACTTTCTCCACTTCAGTTTTCTAAATTATGTTTGATAGTTGAAGCAAAAATCATAGCACTGTCTGATGTGGTTCTCAAAGTATGTAGAGGAAATCTTTAAGGCAATTATATTATAAATGGGAGAAGGTAAGGGACTGAAAAGGAGGTAAGGTTTCTACACATTACTTTAACTGGCAAAACGTTGACACTAGTAGACAGTGATGTATATATAATGCATGTTTGTATGTATAATGTAATACCTAGAGTAACCATTAAGAAATCTATACAAGGAGATACAGTCAAAAACACTATAGATAAATCAAAATGGAATTCTTGTATATGTTTTAGAAGGCAGGAGGAAGAAATAGAGAAATGAAGAGCAGAAGAACAAACAGAAAACAATAAGTAAAATGACAAGCATAACTCTAACATATCAATAATTATATTAACTGTAAATAGCCTAAATATACCAATTAAAAGACTGAGATTGGCAGAGTAGATAAAAAAAATGACCCACATATATGCTGTCTCCATGAAATTCACTTCATATATAACAGTATAGGTAGAGTGAAATGAAAAGAATGGAAAAAGGTATACCATGTAAAACTGATTTTAAAAAATCAGAAGTGGCTACATTAATATCTGGTAAAGTAGACTTCAGAGCAAAGAGGAAAAAGATAATAAAAACAACATTAGAAATGAGAAAGGGAATGAGGAATGAGAAATTTTATAATAAAAATTATAAAAGAATACCAAGCATAATTTTTTAGATAAAATTGACAAATTTTCTAGAAAAGTAAATAAGAATAAGCTTAATAAGAAATATGCATAAAACTATATGAGAAAAATTATAAAACTGATGAAGAACATAAAAGAAAATTTTAATTACTAGAGAGACATATCATGTTGCTAGATGGAAACAGTTAATATTGAAAGGATGTCCATTCTCATTAAATTTATAAATTCAGTGCAATTCCAAATCAAAATAAAAACACAAATTTTTATAAACAACTTGAATCTAAATTTCTTATGGAAGAGAAAATGTATAAGAATAACCAGATTTTTTAAAAACTAAAAACAATGAGAAAAGACAGATCCATTGTAATTAAAATAATGATAAAGATAGCAATCCAAATAGAGCCAAAAGAATGCAAATAAATACATTTGGGAAAATCATTAATTTAGGCCTACTACTTTATATTTTATGCAAAATTAAATTATGAATAGATTAAAAAGCTAAGCAAAAGAAAAATAATAAACCTATAAAAGTATTAGAAGAAAATATGGGAGAATGTTTTTGTGATCTTGGGCTAAAGAAAGCTGTCCTTTGCAAGACACAAAAAGGGAAAATTGGCAAATTTAAAAACATGAAAATTTAAATAAATCTTTTATACAAAAATGAACTGTGGTTGAGGTTGTGAGACAAATAATAAAGTAGATAAAGTATTTGTCATACATATGATAGAGAAGGGTAATATTCACAAAACATAAAGAGCCCTTGAAAGTCAACTGAAAAAAAGATAAACTACTTAATAGAAACATGAGAAAAGGACATGAGCAAGCAATTCATAAAAGAAATACAAATGGTCAGTATATACATGAAAACATGCTCAATCTTACTAGTAATAAAATTAAAACAAGGTATTTTTTTAATGTGTCAGATAAACAGATTCAAAAGATTATTAATCCCCATTGTTAAAGGTGTGGGGCAACAGTCACTTTCTATACTGATGGTGGAAATATAATTGGCACAACTTTTTTGGTGGGCAATTTGGCAGTCTCTATAAAATTTTTAGTAAGTGTTCCCTTTGTCCTAACGGTTCTACTTGTCAGAATCTATCCTAGGGAAATAATAGAATAAGTATATAAAGATGTAGCTACAATGATCTTCATCACAGTGTTGCTTATTATACAAAAACAGTCTAAATGTCTGCTATGGAATCATTTTTAACTTTTACAAAGGATAAGTTAGAAAATGTGGACCACAAAAGAGTATGTGTAGTATAATCCCCTTCATATAAAGTCGGATAATTGTTAGCTGTCTAAGTATTTTTTATGCCTATGCACATAAACCAAGGCTCACTAGATGAGATAATATATAAAATGATTAGCACATTGCTTGGCATGTAACATTCAACAAATGGTTGCTGTTGTTATTATTGTCAGCATTTAGTAAACACTAAGTGTTCTGCCGTCGGGCACTGTGCTAAGTACTTATGATAAATAAGATACTGTCTTTGAGGAACTTTGGTGGTCATCATCCGTTACCATTTGCCCATTCTACAGTACTGTTGGCTCTCAGATGAATTGTTGAAATACAGGGTGGTCAATGAGGAGTGTCTCATTTGTACCATCACCACCAGAATGTTGGTTTGAAATCATTGCAAGATTCCCCTTATTTCAAAGTTAAAACCACAAAGATTGTTTTAAAATTCTCTTCATTTCAAGATGAAGATGGAACCAGTTTGAATTCAAGTATTCTGGCAGCACTCCGAAAAATGCAAGATGGCTATTTTGGTGGGGCAAGGTAAGTGAGCTCTACACACTCTTTAGTGAAATGAAATGAAATTTGGAAGCTAGGTATAGTAATGGTAGACTTGTGATGCCTTTCTCTATATATTTAACAATATAATCTCATTCTATTCAGAGGAGCTCTCATTTGATAGATTGAATCAAAGAATTTAATGTTATAGAGAAGGGTTAGAATTTTTACCCACCCTATTCTTTGCCTAGACCTCATAAATTCAGTGGACCAGAAAACTTATTCTTTCAAAAAAAGAGGTTACTGGACTATTCACTTCTGGCTGATTTTCTTTTCTTTTTTTCCCTAAGTTCTTATTTTGAAAAATTTCAAGCTTATGGAAATGTGTAAGAATCATATTGAACACCATATACCCTTCCTCAGGATTCAACCTGTTGTTAATATCTGTCCCACTTGTACATTCTCTCTCTCTCCCCTTCCCTCCCTCCCTTCCTCTCCTTCCTCCCTTCCCCTCTTCTTCTCTGCCTTCCTTCCTCTCTCACACATACATATGTGTGCACATACAGACACACACACAGACTTTTTTTGCTGAACTATGTGCGAGTTAGCCAGAGACATCATGACTCCAACCCTAAATATTTCAGTTTCTGTCTTCTAAGAACAAGAGCATTCTCATACATAACTACAATATAATCATCATACTCAGGAAATTTAATATTGATACAATACTATTATCTAATATAGAATCCATATTCAAAATTACCCAATTGTCCCAATAATGTTTTCCCCTAGCTTTTTTTTCCCCACACCAGGATCCAATCAAAGATCACAGATTGGCATTTAGTTAGTATATCTCTTTGAAGTCTTTTAATCTAGAACAATTCCCCAGCCTTTTGTTAATCTTTCATGACAGTTTTCTTTACAGTTTTGAAGAAGGAAGGTCAGTTATTTTGCAGAATGTCTCTCGGTTTGGTTAAAGTGGTATCTGCCAGGTTTCTCCATATCCTTTCTCCAATAGTCTTTGACCAAATGGTCTTAGCTTCCATTGATGAATCAGTTATTACTAATGGAATTGTAAAATGATGATTCTGCATTTCTATCATTCTGTATATATCTATTAGTTAGAATCCTTCTGCAAAAAAATAAAAGAAAAAGAGCTTTCCCTGACCCTCTTTTATTTTGTAGTTTTAGTGTCAGCATAGATTCATGGATTCTTATCTTATTCAATATGTCATGCTCCATTTCTGTCATTATTTCAAAGTTCAAATTATCCCAGATCTGGCCATTGGGAGCCTGTTCAAGCTTGCTTCTTTAGAAAATCAATACTACTGACTTTCCTTTTGGGTTTTGCAATTGGCTTTATAAGTAGGATGGGATATGGCTTACAATCTACTATGATTCATAAAATTTTAAAATACCATCTTTTATTTTCAAAATGGTCTTTTTATTTTTTTAAGTGGTGTGATGGATTCATGGTGATTTATCTTCATTCTGTTCTAGCTTCTCTTGTAGCCAATTGAAATTTTTGTTGGATATTTGGCATAGTTAGCAACAGAGTACATGGCAGTGAAAGAGAGCAAAACTGATCTGCTGGTAGATTGTGAACCCATAATTGTAGTCTTTATTAACACAGTACTCTAACCTACACTACACTATGCCTAGGAGTGCTGTAAAATTTCACTTTTACAAAATTTATACTAATGTATAAACATTAGTAATCCCCCAATGAAACATTCTAGGTATCCTTTTTTCACTAAATTGTGTTGTGTTAAAAAGGATTTCCTCTGATTTTCTGTTTTCTATTTACCCTTTAACTGTCAGGGTTCAAACAGGTAAATTGTCACAGTTTTTGACAACATCTTGCCGCACACATTTAAGCTTCATGGACTCTGGACCTGAGGGTAAGCTGTACAGTGAGGATTACGATGACAACTATAACGAGCTGGAATCTGGGGACTGGATGGATGGCTATGGTTCAACCAGTAATGGTAAGGAGGCTTCATAAAGGCACTGGACTCGCTGGACAAAAATATAAAGTATTGTTGAGCATCCTCGTTAATATTTCTCACTGGCAGCACTCTCACTTCTATTTAATACACCTAGATTTCTACTTTTGTTTGGCTTCACTTTTCATCTTTCTACTTACCTTTGGTTTCCGGTCTAATATCCCTGTAGTGAGTGTGGAGTATGGAGTTGGACTATCCCTTACTAAAATTAGGGAAGATTTCTCTGCTGGGCATATAAAATAGCTGGTGATTTCAAAATGGGAGGAAGCAGTGGTGAGTGAGAGATATTTAATCAAGTACATAGTAGGAAAGCTATACATATACAGTACTGCTTTTTCACATTAAAAATCATAAAAATATGAAATTCAATTAGAGTGCTTTTTGTATATAATATTACAGGGGCACATCAGAATCTCTGGGGAGGTCTGCATAGTTTGAAAAAGCCTATTCGGTATGCCTACTGCTTTCATATTACAAACTAGACCAAAAAATCACAAAAAAATCTAGTTGGCTGCTAGGAATATGAAGATGATATAGTGGGAAAGCATCGTGGGGGCATATATTAAACATGGCTGAGAAACACCCTAAAGGGTTAAAATACTGACATAAGCAGGGCAAGCATTACATTGTTTGAATCTGAAAGAGAGAAGGGCCAGTAGGAGTGAATTATTCTTCTAGCTATCTAAAACGTGGTTTGCCTGCTTTCGTTGTCTATTTGACTATTAGCCTATATCTTGAGGCAGCCAGTTTCTTTATCTTAAGAGTGGTGTGTTGGAGAAAAGAAAAAAATTAGCTTTCCTCAGTGAGGTAGCAAGCATAATCTTATCTACAATAGACCAACACACATTAGCAATCAGAAGGACTATTTTCTTGTTTGGGCTCAGCATTTACCCACCTAAGTACCATTTAATTCATTCTGTATTTGTTTTGGTGAGATCTAAAATAGTGTTCATTTCTTTGTTGGAAAAGAACATTAAATATAAGGTTGTTTCCTGTTACCAATAATAGCAAAGTCATGATATTTATCTTGGCATAAGCTGAAATATTTGGAAACCCAGACAAGAATGATAATATATTGAGTTTGTTTGCTATTCCATGAATAGTAGTGATTTTCCTCTGTAGCACTCATTCTCTATATCTTTTTAATGACATGTATTACTAAATTTGATATTACGCATTCTGAGTCACTTTCTCCTCTCTGGGTTTACTCATGGGTGGTCTCACAATGGACATGTTTATTGCTTGCCATCCCTTTCATGGGGAGAGCACTTCTCTCCATATCCTTCATAATCCTCCACTCAAGTATCTAGATTGTATTCAAGGTTATGATATTTGTCATTAGGATGTCACTGAGTATGAGTTCCATTCTTACAGCTTTGCTAGTTCCCGTTAGTCATATCAGAGCGCAGAAAGACATCTGGAGAGATCACCAAAGATGATCAAAAACCAGATGAGGCATGACTGACCTGGCAGACTTTGGTATTGATCCACACACTCTGCTTTTCCAACTATAAATTTTCTGAATATTCATCAAGTCTGAAATGTTAAGCATCCACAGGGTATATGTATATTTTTTATTTCTATTATCTATAGACAGAGATAATGTCATAGAAGGTATATGGGGGAGGGGGAGCCCAAGAGGATAGGGACCATATCTGTCTTCTTCACCACTTAAACCTCAGCACCTGGTACACCACCTGGTACATAGTAGGCAATAACTATTTGGTGAGCAAATGAATGAGGTGACTAAAAAGACCAGTGTTTGGCCAGTAGTCCTTTTGACACCAATGCCACATGGAGATTGTTTTTTCGTTAGCAATTGTAGCTGCCATTTGTGGAATCTGTCTGTTTTCAGTTAGGCTCAACAGTTACCAGAAGATTTTTGCCCTTCCCCGCAAAAGTCTCCTTATACCAGTGAGACTCAAGGGGCCCTGTTCTGCTCCTCCTCCACCACTGCTGCCACCACCACTACCATCACACACATATACACAGATTATGAAATGCTTGCTCTACCTGTCCTATAATAAGCTCATACTGCTTTCAGAGGCCCTAATATTGTCTCAGTAAAGTTGAAGAACAGGTGGGTCCTGGTAAATGGCCATAGTTTCTGAATGGTAAAGCTATAAGATTGTATAATGATCACAAACTTTTTTTTCCCCATGAACTAAAACAACCTACTTCTGGTGCTGTGTTGTGGGCACAGGAGCCAGTCATTCTGTTTGGTGGGGTAGATTGTGAAGTAACTAAAATGTTCATTTTTTTCTCTTCCCCATCCCCTCACTAACCTTGCAGCTCACTGTGGTGATGAAGTTGCTCGTTATTTAGATCACCTTTTGGCGCACACTGCTCCCCATCCTAAACTAGCCCCTACCTCACAGAAGGGAGGGCTAAATCGGTTCCGAGCTGCTGTGCAAACAACCTTCGACTTAATGTCCTTGGTGACCAAGGCCAAGGAGCTGCATGTACAGAGTGAGTAATGCCATGACTCACTTGAGTCAGGCACAGGATGATGCAAAGCCCAGGATGGGGGCGGGGCGTTTATCACAGTGTAAGCAGGAACTTTGTTGTGTTCGCTGCTTTATCCCCAGCATCTTGGACAACACCTAGAACATATTAGACACTCAAATATTTGTAAAATTAACGACTTTGGTATAGTTTTGCTGTAGATAGTGCTATGTAATCTGGTTTAACCAGTTACATAGTGAGAAGAGGCAGAACAGAAGATATGGAGCATATTCAGTTTTAACATCGAAGTATTAAAATGGCGGAAAGAGTTTTTTCCTTGGAAAAATTATTCCTTTGGAAGTAATTTTGTTTAAAGAGAAAGCATTGAAAACTGTTATAAGATAGCCTTGCAACAGAGAGGGAGATATTCTCCCTTAAGTAAACTACACCTGGTTCCCTTAGGCCAGCTATAACTTACAGTCAGTTGTCCCAGCAATGTAGAACTGTGTTGTCAACTACAGTACTCATTCTTCAACAATTTTGTCATTCTCCTCCTCATGACCACCACCCTCCTTCAGCTGTATTTGGAGTGGAGGATATCTTCTACTACACATTGCCAGGATTAGTCATGGTTCCTAAGAGTGTTCAATGCCTCTATGGTAGCTGCATTTGAAAGGACAGAAGGGCTTCTTGGCCACACCTAGAGGACCTAAATGTTAACATTTTACAGATGATGAGAATGACTGAGATGCATGCTCTTGCTGTCTAAAACTTTATTGACAATTACTAACCAAAGATATTCAACATGAACATTGGGGAACCATTTAACATTTGGAATAGGGAAAAGCTTAGCACACCCATTGAGTATGCTTCCTTGACAAAGGGTCTGTGTCAAGAGATCAACTTTATTAAGTTATACTTCTAGATTGTGAATCAGGAAACTTGAGCTTAATTCCCGACTCTGCTACTTACTTGCTTGAACAGTTATTTGAGCTCTGTATCTCTCTTGCTGTATCTGTAAAATGGTGAAAATGACAAAAGAATCTCTTCTTAGAGGTTATGGTAAGTATTTCAACAATGAACTGTAAGTAAAAATCTTAGGAATATCCCAAAGTTGGTTAGCCACTACATTTTTAGATTCCCTAGATATGATCATCCATTTATCTATTCTCAAGGAAATTCAACTGCTAGCAGGCAGATATTCTCCTAGGAAAGTCCAGAAAATATAAAATATAGCTGGATTCTTTCTGTTATATGTGGTATTCTATCAAAGTATCAGTGATAGCACCATTGTGGTATTGATTACATTCGTAGAATTTCATATCTTACATGTCTAGCTGATGCTACAATTCTAGACAATGTATTCAAAATATGTTTATTGATTGATCAAAAATTCTTTATCTGATATTCATATTTCTTCACTTTGATATTACCAAGAAAAGATAAATTTCTCATTCTTGTTCTGTAAAGAACTGACCCATATATAACTTCATTGTTGAGGTCAACTGTGCATTTTTATTAGTCTCCTAACTATCTAACCTTTCCCATAAATGTCACCCTCTTGCAGATGTTCACATGTATCTTCCTACAAAGATATTTCAGGCTTCCCGGCCTTCATTCAACTTACTTGACTCACCTCATCCCCCACGAGAGGACCAGGTAAATTTGCACATGAGGTATTTCTGTTAGCTTATGCAAAACTACCAACCTTATGGAAAATAATAGAACTAGCCATTATGGTTTTTGCTAGTAACTGGTGGGAGGCAAAATGCTACCCTGGTGAAGATATATGTCCTTTTTAATTCACTTTTAAAATGGGCAAGGTTTTCTAGCCAGCCTTTAAGAAAACTAGATTGCTGTATCATACATCTTGAAGGTTTCATTGTTTTTGCTTTACTTTTTGTCAAAAGTTAGGGACTTCTTATGGAAAAGGTCTAGAGGTGAAAAGATCAACACTCTAGGGCATTATTTAAGTTGAGCACTTGTGGACTTAATTTTTTTCATCCTTTCTCAAACTAAAGGTTCCCTCTGTTCGTGTAGAAATTCATCTTCCTAGAGAACAGTCTGGGGAGGTGGATTTCAAAGCATTGGTTTTACAGTTGAAGGAGACCTCCAGCTTACAGGAGCAAGCTGATATCCTCTACATGCTGTATACTATGAAGTAAGTGTCGTATATTATCAATCTACTTTAATGTTCATTTAGAGAGAAAGTATAACATAGTAAATATAGCCCAGCTTTGGAGTCTCACTGATCTGGATTTAAATACAGTTTTGCAACCTACCCACTGTGTAACTCCAAAGCCTCAATTGTTCTCATTTATAAAATTTGGATTATACCTACCTCATAGATTAAACAAGAGGGGCCGGCCCGGTGGCGCAAGTGGTTAAGTGTGTGTGCTCAGCTGCAGAGGCCCAGGGTTCGCCGGTTCAGATCCCAGGCGCACCGACGCACCGCTTGGCAAGCCATGCTGTGGTGGTGTCCCATATAAAGTAGAGGAAGATGAGCATGGATGTTAGCCCAGGGCCAGTCTTCCTCGGCAAAAAAAAAAAAAAAAGAGAGAGGAGGATTGGCAGATGTTAGCACAGGGCTGATCTTCCTCACAAAAAAAAAAAGATTAAACAAGATATATTATCTGCAAAGTCTCTAATATAATGCTTGGTACATAGTAGGTGACCAATAACTGATAACTGTTATTATCATTATTATGGTCATTTTTACCATCCATTATTTGGTAAAATCTACAGTTAAATAAATTCTTAATTCAAAAGAAGTAAGAATATGGAGGCTTACAGGAAAAAGAAACTAGCATTTTTGAGCGTTTGCTATATGTGAGGCACCCTGCTAGGTATAATATATCTAAGTACCTCAAACTCAGTATGCCCAAATTGAACTCCTCTCTCCTATCCCCCACATCCCCCCACAAAATAACCCGTTCTTCCTCATTTATTCATGTTGTCATTACCCTGAAGAGTCAGGATGGACTTGCCCCCCCCCCGCTAAATTTGATTTGGACATTGAGACTGATAATGCCACACATGTACCAAAAGGTGTTAGATGTTTATTACTCACATAATGAGACCTTCTGGAGAGAGAAGAACAGGCTCCTAAGTTTGTCCAAAAGAAGCTTGAGTAAGCAGAGGAAGGAGGCTGGATTTAGGATTTTATTATGATTAAGAGGTGAGGCTGGGGTGAGTGTTCTCACTGGTACCAAAGGAAGGAACACTCAGACTTTCTTATCGCCTTGCCAAGATGTAGGCTGCAAGGGAAAGGGGAGTGGTAGGACTTGAAAGCGGTCAGCATTCAGACATCAAAAATGAAGTCAGACTGTATGAAATTCTCCATCTCCATTGTTGGAACCAACACCTACCTTAAAATAGGTAATCAAGCTTCTCCCCATCCAGCTTCTCCCCATATCCAGTTAATCACCAAGTCTGTGCAGTTTTCTCTCTCAAGTTTTTATACTCTGTATCTCTAGTATTGATGCCTTCATTTAGGCCTTTGTCTCTCACTAAGACTACTGCTAGAGCGTCCTAACAAGTCTTCCTATTTCTTTCTTGTTCTCCTCAAGCCCCTCCTCCACAGAGGAGGAAGAGTAACTTTTCTTTTTTACTTTTTAGGATAGAAATGTTCAAATTTATATAAAAGTAGAGAGAATAGTATAATGAACACATTTGGACCCGTCACCCAGCCTGCAAAATTATAAGCACATGGTTAATCTTGTCACATCTATGTTCTCACTCTCTCTTCCCCCTGAATTATTTTGAAGAAGATACCAGATGTTTTATCATTTTATTCCTAAATATTTCACTATTATTTCTAAAAATCAAGGAATCTCTTAAACATAATCACAATGGGGCTTCTGGTTCCAGACAAGATAGAATAGATGCATTTCTGTCTTTCCTCCTGTTAAGTACAGGAGGATGTTATTTATAAAACAAACATAACAAGATGTTGAAAGATGGAGAGAGGAAGGCAGACTGGCTAAGGACCTCAGGATCTGAGAAATGACAGTGTTATGAGGTCCCCAGGTTTTCTTTGTTGCCTGCATTAGGAGCTGGAGAAGCCAGCAACCTGAAAACACCAATGGGCACAGACAACAAAAGCACTAAGAAAAACCTGTTCTTTCTAGACAAAGGACTAGGAAAAGGGCAGCCTAGCAAGACAGACAACTTTTAGACAATAACCACTCCACCACAGAAAAATCTGTGCCCCCACCCCTGTCAACAAAGGCTGAGTGGGAAGCCCAGACTTCCACTCTCACCCAGCTGTAACTAGGCAGACACTGCTCCACCTTCCCCACTGCCAGGGTAGTGTTAGAGAAGGCCAAGTAAAGGTCTGGGACTTTCATTCCCTCTAGGTAGTAATGAAGTCCCCTTGGTCTCCCTGACTCCAAAGCCCATGCTGTTTCCATCAGATTATGATTTTTAATGAGTAAGTGAAAACAAAAGCTGAAAAGCCCACCGGCACCAAAGTCAAATTTTTACACATCCAATTCTATTAAAAATTGCCCAAACATATTTTTAGCCATTTAGGGCCAGCCTGCTTTGCATATGCCTTGAAACCCACTCTGCATCTGCTAGGAGGAGATAAGCCATGAGCCATTAATACCCCAAACCACTGCTGCCATTCAGAGCTCTCTAACCTAGAGACTCCCCACAGTGCGACTGAGGGACATCACCTAGACATTTAACCCCCTCCTCCCTAGTTCCCTGGGAGTTCCCTTGCCCTCCTCCCCTTCTGGATGGTAGAACTGTACCTTATATAAACCTCTGGATGGTCTCATGCTGTGAGGGACTTCCCCTCTCATACAACCCTGTCCAAGTGCCACCCGGTAAAGGTTGTTATGTGCTACTGCCAAAAAAAAAAGACGTGGGTCTTATTATTTTGATACTTTTGTTTCTTTCTTTTTTCTTTTAGGGTAGGGCACTTTATTCAACAAGTATTGTTGAGTACTTACACGCCAGGTGCAATGCTAGATGCAGAGTAATGAAAAGACAGAGAAGGTGAAAAGAGATAAGGGATAAGGACAGAATGACTATAGTTTGAATGAAAACTGAAGATTCAGCAGGGTAGTTGAGATGGGCAAACAAAAGGAGTTGTACATGAAAAGCTCATACTTTCCCACCGATTCAGATGACCCATGGTTGACTGCCAACTCTTCTCCTAAGACATGAGTCTTCTTAATCTAATCCTGTATGTACTAACTTCACCATAATGTCTGATTGAACCCTGCAATCTCCCTAAAACTAGTATTCCGGATAATATCAAACCACTTGAGTAGATTGTGTATGATTTGCTGCATGGGTTTTAACACACTTGGAATTCTGCCCAATATCCCTCATGGATTTAAAAGTAGAAGTTGAGAGGTGAGGTTTCCTATATCTATTGACAAAGTATTCTTTCTGTAAATTGTCTGTTTATAACCTTTGTTCTCTATTGGGTTATTTATATTTTTCTTATTGATATTAGATATTACTATTTTGTTTGTTATATTTGTTGCAGGTATTTTGTCGAAAGAATTTGCTTTTTGACTTTGTTTATATACCTTTCTCTATGCAAAAGTTTATATTTTATATAGTCAAATCTATTGATCTTTTCTTTTTTGGCTTCTGTGTTTCTTGTCATGTATGGGAGAACCTTCTCCCCTCCCAGAATTTAAAAATATTTTAAATACCCTTAATATTTTTTAAAAAATATTTAGGTCTTTAATCTATTTGGAATTTATTTTTATGTATGTCTTCTTACTCAACATATCTAAAATCAAATTCACTGTCTTTATCAGAAACCTACTACTTCCTGACCCTGTTCATGGTATCATCATTTTTTCAGTCACCCAGACTTGAAGTTGTGTCATCATCTTCAATCTCATCCCCTGCCTTTCCCTACAACATCTCCACTACCATTGGGAATCAGTGGCCAAATCTATATCCTCTATGATGTGACTTTCAACATTTATCTACCATTGCTCCTCCCTCGCAATGTGAATACTGCCACCAAAACAGCCTACCATTTATAATATCCAAAACACAGCCTATACATGACAACTTTAATACCTTGGCTCATATTTTTTCCTCTGCCTGGAGTACTCTCCTTTACCACACTGCATCTCTCCTCATTGGAATTCTAGCTATCCATCAAGGCCTACTTCATTTGTCACCTCCATGTTTTCTCTGATCTCTAGGAATAAAAAGGCTCTTCCCTGATTGTGAGATCTCATAGCACTTCTTTTCATATTATATATTTATTTATTTTTATTTTGACTGTTTCAAACTTAGAGAAAAGTTATAAGGATAGTAGAAAAAAAAATTCTGGATATCCTTCACCCAAATCCCTCAGATGTTTACACTGGGCTTTAATCTCTCTCTCTCTCTGTCTCTCACATCATCATCATCATCACACACATATATTTTTCTGAACCATTTGAGAGTAAGTGATAGACATGATCCCCTTCTATCCCTAAATACTTCAGTGTGTATTTCCTAAAGTCTAGAAATTCTTTTACATAAGCACAGCAAAATTGCCAAAATCCGAAAACTAATGTTAAGACAATACTTTTTTCTAATCTACAGACCTTATTGAGATTTGTCGGTTGTCCCAATAATGTATTTATAGCAAAGGAAAATCTAAATTATGCATTTCATTCAGTTCTCATGTGTCCCTAGTCTCCTTTAATCTAGAACAGTTCCTGAGCCTTTATTTTTCGTGTTATTGATGCTTTTGAAGAGTACAGACCAGTTATTTTGCAGAATGTCCCTAAATTTTCGTTTATCTGATGCTTCCTCATAATTAAATTCAGGTTCTGCATTTGGGGCAGGAATACTGCTGAAGTGATGCTGAGTTCTTCTCAGTGTGTCATATCAGGAGGCACACAGTGTTGATGAGTCCTATTGCTGGTAACTTTAATCACTTGGTTAAGGTAGTATCTTCCATGTTCCTCCACTATAAAGTTCCTATGTTACACTTTGTAATTAAAAAGTATCTTGTGGAGATGTACTTTGAGACTGTAAATATCCTGTTACTCTTCAAACTTTCATTCACTGGTTTTTTAATCCATGGTAACTCTTCCTATAGCACTTTTTATTTCATGTTTTAAAAAATATATTTAATATATTTATTGTATTAAATACATATAATATACATTTAATATAATTTAATATATTAAATGGATAATACATTATCATGATTCAAACTTTTTAAAGTACAAAAGGATACAGTGAAAGGGTAAAAAGTTTTTTTCCCACTTTTATTCCTCAGATACCTGGTTCTCCTCCTCACAGGCAATCAATGCTATTGGTTTTTTGTGTGTCCATCCAGGGACATTTTATGCATATGTAGGTAAATACAGATGTATATGTGTATACTTTTACACCTGTTTACCCAAATGGTAGCATAGTATATACAACTGCTCTGTACCTTGCTTTTTTTCATTAAAACTATATATCTTGAAGATCATTGCATATGATTTCCAGTTATCTATTAGTGCATAACAAATCACCCCAAAACTCAGTGGTTTAAAATAACAAAAACAAAAAGTGTTTAAATTATCTGTCACAGTTCTGGGGCTTGCCTGGGCTCAGCTAGGCGGTTCTCACTTGGGGTCTCATTCAGTTGTGGTCTGACAGTGTCTGGGGCTGAAGACATCATGAGGCTTGTCCACTCATACTTCTGGGAGTTGATACTGGCTATTGGCTGGAACCTCAGCTGGGGCTGTCACCTAGAACATCTACAGATGCTCCACTTCCTCATAGCATGATGTCTAGTTTCCAAGAGTATGTGTCCCAAGAAAGACCAAGTGGAAGCTGCATTGCTTTTTATGACCTAGCCTCAGAAATCATACAGCATCACTTTCACCTTAGTCACAAGCATGCCTGGGTTGAAGGGGAGAGGACACAGACCCTGCCTCTTGATGGGAGAACTGTGGAAGTCACATTGTAAGGAGAGCGAGTTAGATGAAACATTGTTTTAGCAATTTTGAAACATACATTCTGCTACAATCTAGATATACATCATATTTTCTTAATAGTTGGATAGCATTCCATTGTTTGAATATACCATAATTTAACTAGTCTCCTATTGATGGACATTTGGATTATTTCCAGACATACGCTATTACAAACAATGCTGTACCTGATAACATATATCATTTCTTGTGTGTGGAATTTATTCTACAGATATACCAGAAGTGGAATTGCTAGATCAAAGAATATAGGCATTTTTAATATTAATATATATTTCCAAATAGCCCTCCAGAGGGATTGTCCCAATTTTCACTCCCACCAGCAACATATTGAGAGTGCCTATTTTCCCAAAACCTCACCAATGCAGTGTTATCAAATTTGAGGATTTTTGACTACACGATAGATTAAAAAATGTTATCTTGGTGTAGTGTTAATTTTAATTTTTCTTATTATGAGTGAAATCGAACGCCTTTTCCTATGTTTAAAATCCATCGGTATTTATATTGCCACGTTTTCTTTTGTTGTTTTTTATTTTCTTATCTGTTAGAATTCTTTATATATTAGGGACATTGGCTTATGAATTGCAAGTATTTTTCTCATTTTGTACTTTGTCCTATGACTTTGCCTACAGTGGTTTTTGCAATAAGAATTTTATTGTTTTTATGTATATAAATGTATCAATCTTTTCTTTTATCGCTTCTGATATATAGTTCATAGTTAAAAGGTCCTCTTGCCTCCAAAGTTATAAAATAGTTCTCCCATATTTTTTCTAGTACCTTTACATTTAAATCTTTGATACAATGGCAATTTTGGTGTACAGTGTGAGGCATAGATCCAACTTTTTTTTCAGATGGCTACTTAATTGTCCTAACATCATTTAATAAATAATCTACCTTTATCATATATTAAATTATCAATTTCATAGTACTTTATATATCTTTTATAGTACTTCACGGTTGACTTGTGTTGTAGTAATTTTTACAGCAATAATGTATATGTGTCCCTTTAAAAATAAGCACACATCCTTCTTATTTCTTCATTAGTTCCCTAAGTGTAGCATACTTCCAGAACTTTCAATAGTTATATTAAATCTTTGACTTTATTTTCAGCTATATTGAAGCCCATGAAGAGGGTAAAAGAATGCATTTTGTCAAAACACACCTGAAACTAAGACTTATTCTTGTCTAGGTGTTTGGCTTTCAGGGCTATTATTCATATTTTTACAAGGGTTCTTAGTAAATAACATTCATTTCCTAATGAGAGAGACCTATCAAAAACAGGCATATCCATTATAACACTGAAACAAAAGATTGTTGTCAGTGGCTTTAATTAAAATTAATGTAGGCCTGTCTTTAACATTCCAGAGGACCTGACTGGGACACTGGATTGTATCATGAAGGGAGTGCAACAGTCAGAGAGCTGCTTACTGAACTATATGGCAAAGTTGGAGAAATTCGTCACTGGGGCCTGATCCGATACATCTCTGGAATCTTAAGGAAGAAGGTGGAAGCACTCGATGAGGTACTGTAAATTCTTCTTGAATTTATACCAAATCTAAATGGAGATGTGTTTTAAAATTTGGTTTACATAATTATTTTTTGAGGCAACCACAGCCTCTAATTATTTGAGATGTTGTCTTTCCCACATAAAGTTTCTGATATTCAATTAGCTTTTTGTTTGTGAATATCAAATATACAGTACTGAAGCATATAAACTGTAGACTTATAGAGGTGTTATAAACTATAAGAATTCTAAATCTTAAGAATGAATTTACACTAGGCTAAAAAGTCCTACCTCTTAGGAGATAAAAATACCTCATTATTCCTTCCTATAAATCCCTCTTTTCTGAGCTTCATGGTATTTCCTGAGAAAGAGTTTATCATTAAGTTAACAGAGGAGCAAAGGTTTCTAGGCTGAGAAGAGAAATTTTCGTGGAAATCTGAGGTGTTATGGGAAGGATAATGCTGTTATGCTATCTGTTCTTAGGCCTGCACAGACCTTCTCTCCCACCAGAAACATTTGACAGTGGGGCTCCCTCCAGAACCTCGAGAGAAGACCATCTCTGCGTGAGTACAGTTTTTGGTTGGATTTAATCAAGTTTCTCTGAGTCTTTAAGGAGCAATATGGACTGACCGCAGTTCTCTTGCCCTAATCTGTCAATGAATGATAATGACCTATGTGTGTGAGCTTCTGTCAGAGATACTCAGTGTGAGAATGTTGATAATGACAAGGCAGGGGTAAATGAAAGAGAAAACTCACAGGGAATAGTATTCAAATATATTTTGCTTTCTTGAGGTTTTATTTTGGGTTGGTTTTTTTTTTACTTATTGGCTTTCCCAAACCTCTCGTTCAAAAACAAACAAAACAAACGGGGGAACTGGAAATAGCACCCACAAAAATCAGCTGTACTCTGGACTTTGTTGCAGGCCTTTCTCCATGGCTTGTAGATAGCTGTTTTCTCCCTGTATCTCTTCACATTTCTGCCCTCTGTGTGTGTCTCTGTATCCAAATTTCCCATTTACATAAGGACACCAGTCAGGTTGGATTAGGGCCCACCTGATATCACTTTAACTTAATTACCTCTGTAAACACCCCATCTTCTTCCAATAAAGTCACACTCTGAGGTGCTAGAGGTTAGGATTTTGACATATAAACTTCGAGGGGACACAGTTCAACCCATAATACGTTGCTCCTGGCTAACATGACCTTTCATAACAAATCAGATCAATTTTGTGACTACTGTGGGCAATCCAAAAGAAGAAAATGGCATGGTCCATACCACATGCCCCCAGAGTGCTTAGTATCAACAGGACAGTCAGAAGTGTGGGAGGAGGTGTGCATACCTGTGTTTGTGTGTGTGTGTGTGTGTGTGTGTCAACTGATGAAACAAGAAAAGCAATAAATAACGTGTGATTGTAAAGTAATAAAATGGCTTCCAAAAGGCACAGCTTAAATTTAGTTTATTACTTTCTAGCCATAATAGTTACTTGTCAAATATTAAGAATTAACCATGAAAGACTAGTCTGGAAGAACATCATGGGGTGAGTTTAAAATAAAATTTTGAAGGAGAAGGGCAATCCAGGTTTAGAGAGGAGAGAGCAGAGCTCTCCTGAGTTGATATGGACCAGAGTGGTTTGGGGAAGCTGAAACTTTGAAGACTGAAAGAACCAGAATGCTACCAGTATGATGAGATTCTGAGGCAGTGACTTGGACTTGGGAGGACCTTTTTTAGTTTGTCAATATGTTTAGGTTTAAGTAGTTGCAGAATTTTGTCTTTCTTCACTGTCTTCTTCCTCAGACCTCTGCCCTATGAAGTACTAACTCAGCTGATAGATGAAGCCAGTGAGGGGGACATGAGCATTTCAATCCTTACACAGGTGAGCAGAATTATAAAGCCTAATCTGGTGATTGATATGTTAAAGTTTGTTTTCAATTGATCTGGCAATTTCTGAAGACCACAAAATAGGCCTTGTGAGACCTAGGCCATAATTTTTTTCTATAACCATTCCATGCACAGGAAATAATGGTATATCTAGCCATGTATATGCGAACTCAGCCTGGCCTCTTTGCTGAAATGTTTCGACTTCGAATTGGTCTCATCATACAAGTTATGGCGACAGAACTGGCCCATGCCCTTCGATGCTCAGGTATTCAACTTAGTAACTATTTTAGGCAGAATTCACTTTGAATATAGGTCTATTGAGTTTTGCATTAGAAAGGAAAGAAAGCTAAAACATTTTTATCAGTAGCTTAGAAGCTGCATATAACAGTCTTGTTCCCATGTTAGTCAATCTCTATTTATACAAGTCAAAGGACTGATATTATGACACATTATATATTAGTTGCACAGCTTCAAAATTCCACCTCTTGGGGGCTCTGTACTCCAAATTACATTCCTTCTAACTCCTAGAGTGATCCAGAGCATGCATTGAACTTGAGTGTGACAGACTGGGTTTGATTCTGATTCAGGCAGTGCAGCTTCTGGACACCAGATTGAGTCACCATGTCAGTTTAATCATAGTGTCAGTATTCTGTCTAGTCAACATCAGGATCAAAGAAAGGAAGACAATATTTCTATTCTTTTTTTTTTTTTTTTTTTTTTTTGAGGGAGATCAGCCCTGAGCTAACATCCATGCTAATCCTCCTCTTTTTGCTGAGGAAGACCGGCTCTGAGCTAACATCTATTGCCAATCCTCCTCCTTTTTTTTCCTTCCCCAAAGCCCCAGTAGATAGTTGTATGTCATAGCTGCACATCCTTCTAGTTGCTGTATGTGGGACGCGGCCTCAGCATGGCTGGAGGAGCGGTGCATCGGTGCATGCCCAGGATCCAAACCCCAGCCGCCGGTAGCGGAGCACGCGCACTTAACCACTAAGCCACTGGGCCGGCCTGACAATATTTCTATTAATATTTATCTGACAGAACTCTTTGAAATTAACTATAGGTATATTTGGCAAGATAACAGTTTTAGTTAGAAGAATAGCTGGGGCCTGTGGAAGCTGTAGCGGAGAATTATATAAAGTATGTGTTGCGGGGGAAGGGACCCCCGTGCCATGACTATTTTTTCCGTTGGTATTGTTTGATTTCAACAAGAATGGCAAAATTATACAGATAGAGATTGCATACAAAGATAAAATCACAGTTGCAAAACTCAATTTTAGCCATTGTTCCAGTTAAATTTCCCCAAAAGGCTTTAAATTGAGCTGTTAACAAGTAGCTAAATTTATTGGTTTGAGTCTAACCTAAATTACATGAAATAATTTATATTTAAATAACCCTTAAAAGGAGAAAGCTAATGATTATTTTATACCTACCATATGCCAGACACTGTGCTTTTTGCTTTATATTTATATACGTTATCTCATTTAATACTTATAACAACTCTGTGGAGAAGGTATTTTTGTCCCGATACCCGAAGGTATTTTTACCAATAAGGAAACTGAAACTTAGAGAGGTTTTATAACTTGCCCAAAGTTACATAGCTAATAAATAGTAGAATTTGAGCCCAAGTCTTCCTGATTCCAAATGATTTCCAGTTCAGCACAATGTTATAGATTATAGAATATATATATATATATATTCTCTATCTATGGTATCAAGAGATGTTTTATGAGGGTCTGATTATTCAATAATAAACCTCAAAGAGGGATAAACCCCCAAACATTCTTCACTTTTCCTTAATTGCCTGTTATGGATCTTGTTTTTTTTTCTGTGGATTCATCAAACCGATGGCTCTTTATTTCTTATAGGATAAAGTCAAGATCCCTGGGTCTGAAATTCAAGACCCTCAACAGTCTGGCCTCTACTTCCTATTTCAACAATACTTCCCATTAATTTTATCAATCCCCATCCTTGAAGATTGATGTCTCCTCTGATTTCCAAAGCATTTATTGTCTGTACCTCTCATTTAGCACTTAGTATAGCCATGTTTTATTGTTGTTTATATTGTTTACATGTCCAGTCTCTCCCAAATAGTTGGTCAGCCCCTCAAGGTCAAGTACCATGTCATACCTGTTTGTACTAACATTGCTTAAAATCATGACCTACGTGTAGTAAACTCTTAAGTGTCTGATGTTGATGAACAAGTTCAAGTTATCTTCTCAATATTCTTCATAATTTCTTGAATTCATATCTGTTCTCTTTTAAGTCTCTGTATGTCCAAACTGAGAAGTTTTGATTATTTTAGTTCATCTGCATATATATATTCATTGCCTTTCTCTGACTGGCTTCCAGTTCCATTGTTCTCCTTTCATTCTTCCCACCTTCAAATAAAGATTCTACTGAGTACCCTAATGACATGGAAGGGGAGTAAAGAAGAAATCAAGGAACTGGTTAATCAATAAACTGGATAGTCAGTCCTTATATTATTAAGAATCTATTGAAGTATAATACCTAGGCAGTATGGTGCTAGAAATTTATTTTGTAATTTTGTTCTGCCAATCAAGTGACTCAGAAATTTTAAATGCGAACAGAAATAGAGAAAAAATAGGGCAAATATGGCAGACCATTTAGAAATCCCTCTGTCCTAACATTTCTGCTGACTAGCTGAGGAAGCCACGGATGGTCTGATGAATCTCAGTCCTTCAGCCATGAAGAACCTCCTGCATCACATTCTCAGTGGCAAGGAGTTTGGAGTGGAACGAAGCGGTAAGGTTGAATAACTGCATTTCCATTTCAGAGTGTTTAAGTGTCTCATTGATTTTAAAATGTCTTTATTTTATCAGAGGAACCTTTTCCCCCAAATAAATAGAACCCCAATATATGAAACAGTTAAAAGTAAAGCTGTCTTCTGGAATAAGATTTGGAAACCACTGTATGTCTCTTTTATTTTCCTTCAATGATATATCAACTAAATGGATTACTATCATGTTTCGTTTTTAAGTGTTTTATCTATTCCCTTACATTATCATAAGTCTCTACTTTAGGACAACTAACCACTCATATCATCTGAAACTTGCTTCTATTCCAATTGGCAATAATTCAGTAGCACTTATAGTGGTGTGTGTGTGTGTGTGTATGTGTGTGTGTGTGTAGCTGCTACAGTACATCTGATGTGTCCTTTCACCTTTAAATTCAAATACATCTAGGGGTCTATCCAACTTAATCTTCCACCTGCATTTATAGTTTGGCAGTGGTATTTGGTATCGAGTACCTAAAACATCAGAGCAAATGAAAAGGATTATCTCTCATGCTCAACTTTTAAGCTTAGGATAAATAAATATATAATGTCAGATGGATGGATACCAGACCTTAGAGTGGTAAAAAGTTATAAAGCAGTGCTCCTCAAGCTTTACTGTGCGTAAGAATCACCTGGGGATCTTGCTAAAATGCAGGCTCTGATTCAGTAGGTCTGGAGTGGGGGCCTAAGATTCTGCTAACAAGCTCCTAGGTGATGCTGACGTTGCTGGTCTATGGACCACACTTTGAATAGCAAGGCTATAGTTGGTTTTTGGTTTTTTTGTTTTTTGTTTTTGTTTTCAACATAAAAGGAGAACATATATCTAAGTCTTTTAAACATGGTGGAGAAAAAAATTTGAACCTGATTATCTTCTCTCTTTCTCTTTAATCTGCCATGCTATATAGTTCGTCCCACTGATTCAAATGTCAGCCCTGCTATTTCTATCCACGAGATTGGTGCTGTGGGAGCAACCAAAACGGAACGAACTGGGATCATGCAGTTAAAAAGTGAGATAAAGCAGGTAAGACACTACTTGGGAGATTAGCTGAGATATTGTCATGTTTAAGAGCATTCTTTTGGAATCAGACTTTGTTAGGGTCATGTATTTTGTTTCATATCCTGAGTTTAATTTGAGCTTTATTTTTCAGGTGGAATTTCGTAGACTGTCTATCTCAACTGAGAGTCAGGTGAAACAACTCGGGATCCTTTAACACAGTTTTAACCTGCCTTTAGTTCTATATAACATGCATGAGCTCATGACCTTTTTACAAATGATATAACAAGCCACGGAGTAGCTTGTTTGATTCTTCTTTATAGCAATCATTTTGTAGATATCTTTCCTTTTTCTGGACGAAACTATTTTGCTAATTTTAGGAGGAAAGTAATTTGTTTCTGATAGCAAGAGATTGAAACCCTGAGTTCCTCTTGTTAGGATTAACATGTAATTTGGGAATTAATTTTCGTTATGAAACTAGACTTAGGTTTCTTACTTTTAAGAACAGGTAGTAGAGAGAACACCAGATTAGGTGAGGGCCTTTTTTTTTTTTAAATCTATTTTCAGGTATTGTCTTGAAATTAGATTTTTATCATTGTCATGATAGAGATATATGAAAGATATTGTGGACGCATAGAAGAAAAACATCTAAATCAGTCTGAGAGTTGTTGGAAGTCACCAAACATCATATGGTAGCCTCTTACTCATTTTTCCCTGCAAATGAGAATAGATGAGTTATTGTGTTATACAAAGAAATAGTTAGCACAAACTTCCATAGCTTCTTTCAAAACTCTGAGAAATCATGTGATTTCAAAGTGTCCAAGTTGAGAAGGTACTGATTTGGTCTCTCCTAGTAGTGCTTTTTATGAAAATTTTTTATTAAAGCTACTCCTCCTACTTTCAAAATAGATTTATGCTAGCTTACAGTATAAAAGTACATCCAGAAAAGGAGAGGTGAAATGGAAATTTTGTTTTTGTTTTGTTTTATTTTGTTTTTTAGGAGTCAGAAACCATTTGGGAAAAAATGAGCCAATGCTTGAAGATTAATTTGAAGTAAACTTAATTTGAGTATATTTATCAGATACCCTTGCAAGGGCAAGAACAGAATGGAATAAGAAAGGGCCTTGTGATAGGAAAATGTTCACTTTACAGATTTTTTCCCAGATAATTTGGGTAATATGAACATTTTCCTATCTGAAAGGTGAAAGAACTACATTTCATACTGTGAAGACTTAAACTGATGTTGTTGGTAGACAGTCCTTGTTTTGGTTGAGAGTGATTGGCTAAATATTTTATAGTTGTTTATAGTCACACAGTATTACTTACAAGTTATATATTTAGAACTTGAAGTCCATGTTCCCAGCTAGATTAATATGATATTAAGGACTTGTTCTGCCCAGCTATATCATTTAATTCTTTTTTTACACATCTACTATCTATAGGACTTCAAGAAAGCCAAAATCATTAGGACTGTAATTTAGAAGATTGAGAGCCCTAAATTTTATTTCCATCCTCACCTGCCTGTCTGGTATTTTGTTGTTGTTGTTCTAAGCCCTTTTCTGTACCACTCACCAACGCCCTCTTTTCTGATTATGGAAAAAATATTTTTAAAGATAGCTTTATTTATTTTACCCTTTACCATGACTTCTAGAGTAAGGCTATTTCATCAGCTTTTTTAATGATAACACGCTGGCTATTTACTTGAGCAGACTGTAATTTTACTCTACTAATAACTTTTAAAAACACAAATAATGGTTGCCTTGCCTCATCCCTTTTAAGATTTTATTTTCTCAACATTTTTTCATACTCCAATGGTGGTCATCTCCTGGGTGTAGGTTTGATGTCACTGTCTTTTCTGGTAACTGCTGTCATCTTGTATTATATACCATTCACAAGTGCTTTGAATATGCTGTTATTTAAATCATGACATATACTGATTGACTGAAAAGAAAAACACAATGAATCAAAAACTAAAATAAGTATAAATCAGTTTCATGTGTGGGGGTGAAATCTTTTCATTACTTTCCCAAAAAGGCAGAGAAGGGGCTTCAACTCCAACCTCTTTTCCATTTCAGAAAACAAAATTCAATTTAATAAGTATTTGTTAAGTATCTGTTTATTCTTTCAATTAATATAATTAATTGCATACCAGCTATGCGCCAGGCACTCTACTAGACAGCATCAGCATCCCCTGGGAATTTCTTAGAAATGTAAATTCGTGGCCCCCACCCTAGGCCTACTGAATCAGAAAGGCTGGGGTGAGGCCCAGCAATCTGTGTTTTAATAAGCTTTCTAGGTGATTCTGACACACTTTTAAGTTTGAAAACCACTGGGTTACGTATTCTTCTGATTATTAATCCATTTAGTAAATATTAATTGAGTGCCAATTTTATGCCAGGCACTGGAAATACAATAGTGAACAAAACAGGTGTGGTCCTTGCCCTCATGAAGCTTACAGTTTAGGAAGACTGATCTCTGATTAAATTTCCTTGGTTTAAATCAATGATTGATAATGGCCTATGATTTCAGATCTCTTAGGCTGAAGAGATTAAGGCCAGATGACAACCAAACAAAAAATAGAAAACTATTGGAAACAATATTGTTATTTCTTTTGACCTTAACCAAATACCCCGTAATGAATTAGTATAGTAAGACTTGGCCAACTCTGTCATATCCACATTAATAAAGGAGGACAGAGGCTTAGAGACATTCATCTAAAAACTCAAAACTATTGATATTTAGTTTTGGAAAATCATCTGAATACACTTTGTGGTTTGACCCCACTATCAGCAGGCTAGCATCTTGATGGTGGAGACAAAGACAATGAAGATAAATCAAATGGCAGTTCATCTACTTGGTACATCAGTGTGATAGTCACTGGTCAATAGAAATGTCTTGGGATACTTTTCTCTTTTACATAGCAATGGTTGGTGATAATAGGCATTTGGCCCAAATTAAAATGTGAGAAGTTCTTTTCTCAGAAAATATTTCTATTCTTTCTAGTTATGTTTATTTCTGAATCTAAACTGTCAAAGAACCACTTTCCCCAGTGTATTTCATCTTTCACTTAGATCAGTTTTTCAAAGATCATTATGTTGTAGCATGTATCAGTACTTCATTCCTTTGTATTGCTGAATAATATCTTATTGTATTGATAGCACATTTTATTTATCCGTTCATCGGTTAATGGACATCTGGATTGTTTCTGGTTTTTGGCTATTATGAATAATGCTGCTATGAACCTTCAGGTACAAGTTTTTGTGTGGACTTATGTTTTCATTTCTCTTAGATATATATCTAGGAGTGGAAGTGCTGGGTCATTTGGTAACTATGTTTAGCATTCTGAGGAACTGCCAAACTGTTTTCCAAAGGGGCTGCGCCATTTTGCATTCCCATTATCAATGTATGAGATTTTCAATTTCTTCATATCCTCGTCAACCCTTGCTATTGTCCATCTTTTTGATTCTAGCCATTTTAGCAGATGTGACGTGGTATCTCATTGTAATTTTGATTTGCATTTCCCTAATGGCTTATGATATTGAGCATCTTTTCATGTGTCTATTGGCTATTTGTTTATCTTCTTTGGAGAAATGTCCATTCAGATCCTTTGCCAATTTGTTAATTGGGTTGTCTTTTTGTTGAGTTGTAAAGGTTCTTTATATATTCTGGATACAAGTCCCTTCTCAGGTATGTGATTGGCAAATATTTTCAGACCACTATGGGTTGTCTTTTCACTTTCTTTTTTTTTTTTTCCTTCTAGAGACCATCAAGCACAGAATTTACTTTCTTGATAGTATCATTTGAAGAACAGAAGTTTTAATTTTGATGAAGTCCAATTTATCTATTTTTTCCTTTTAGTGTCACACCTAAGAAGACTTTGCCTAACCCAATGTCACAAGGGTTTATCCCTATTTTTTGTTTTCAGAGTTTTATAGTTTTAGCTCTTATAATTAGGTCTGTGATTATGTTTGGAGGTCCCTAATACCACCCCCAGGTTTGATGACTCACTAGGAGGACTCACAGCTATAATTTATTATAGCAAAATAATACAAAGCAAAATCAGCAAAGGGAAAAGGTACATTAGACAAAGTCTAGGGAAAACAGGCACCAGAGTTCTCTCCCAGTGGAAGCACACAGGATGCACTTAATTCCCCCTGCAATGAGTCATTTGGTGACATGAGTGATAACATGTATGAAATATTGCCAACCAGGGAAGTTCATTAAAGACTCAGCACCCAGGGTTTTTAATGGGGGCTGGTCACATAAACAGCCTCTGTCTGGCATGTACCAAAACTCCAGACTCCTAGAGGGAAAGCAAGTGTTCAACATAAACCATAGTGTTTGCACAAACAGTTTAGACACAGCAAGCCACTGTTATCAATTCTGGGAATGGTGGGAACCCTCCCACAATCCAGGTTTCCAAATGCCAGCCAAGGGCTAATCTTGTAAGCAGGCCTTTCCAAGAATATTACTTCTGGCCTGTTGTGTTAATTCTTTTCTTCACAACAACCCATGTGAACTTAATTTTTGTGTATTTGAGGTAAGGGGGGGTCCAACTTCATTCTTTTGCAGGTAAATATCCAGTTGTCCCAGCATCATTTCTTGAAAAGACTATCTTTCCCCCATTTAGTTTTCTTGGCACCATTGTTGAAAATGAATTGACAAAAATGTAATGTTTTATTTCTAAACTCCCAATTCTATTTCACTGATCTGCATACCTAGCCTATGCCTATATGAGACGGTCTTGATTATTGTAGCTTTGTAATAAGTTTTGAAATTGAGAATTGTGAGTTCTGCCAACTTTGGTCTTCTTTTTAAAGATTGCATTAGCTATCATGGGTCCCTTGAATTTCCATATGAATGTTAGGATAAGCTTGTCAGTTTCTGCAGAGACTCCAGTTGGGATTTTGATGAAGATTGTGTTCAATCTGTAGATCAATTTTGAGAGTATTGCCATCTTAACAATGTTAAGCCTTCTGATCTGTGAACATAGCATTTCTTTCAATTTATTTAGGTCTTTAATTTCTTTCAACATGTTTTGTAGTATTCAAAGTATATGTTTTACACTTATTTCATTAAATTTATTCTTAAGTATTTTATTCTTTTTGATGCTATTTTTTTTATTGAGATAACATTGATTTATAACATTGTATAAATTTCAGGTGTACATCATTATATTTCGACTTCCGTATA